TTGCTGTCGAAGCCTATTTTTTGAACACCCATTCCTATGTGGTGGTGCAGCGTGCGTTCCATACTCACTTCGGAATTAAGCCCAGAGGTCTGGTTTCCGACCGGAAATCTATTGTTCTGTGGGTCGAGAACTTCAGAACAACCGGGAGTGTGGTGAAAAAATCATCGGGATGACAATGGACCGTTACGACGCCATAAAATGTGGAGGCAGTTCAACAGTCGATTTTGAGATCTCCAAAACACTCTGCTCGCAAACATGCAGCCGCCCTAGACATATCCAATCGTTCAATGCACCAAATTCTTCACGAACATCTTAAATTCCATTGCTATAAGATGGTTGTTGTGCAAGAATTGTCACCACGTGATTTCCAGAACCGAATAACAGCGTGCGAAACGTTATTGGAAACTTTACCCCCTGATGCGATTTCTTTAGTGATGAGGCACATTTTCACCTATCCAGATATGTCAAGAAGCAAAATATGTGCTATTGGAGTGGTAACAATCCCATAGAGCTCCATGAGAGGCCACTTCACAGTGATAAGGTGACAGTATGGTGTGCGTTGTCGAGAGCTGGAGTTATTGGCCCTTATTTTTTGAAGAAGACAATCATGCAGTTACTGTCAATTCACAGTGGTATGTGGACATGATTAAAAACTTTTTCATACCAGGAAATGTCTGGTTCCAACAGGATGGTGCCATGGCCCACACAGCCTGAGCTTCGATGACAGTTTTGAGGCCAAAGTTCCCCGGACGGCTCATCTTGCTTCGAGGTGACATCCTGTGGGCAGCGCACTCACCTGATCTAACGCCCTGTGATTTTTTTTATGGGGATACCTCAAGACAGAGGTTTTTAAACATCGCCCCAGAAACCTGCTTCAGCTGAAGAATGTTATTCGGCAGGAAGTAGCCCAAATTCTGGTGCACATGGAACGTGCAGAGGGGAACTTAAGAAAACGGTTGCATCAGTGCATAGAGAATGGTGGCCACCACCTTCAAGATATTTTGTTTAAAACTACATGATTTAAAACTTTAAAGTATGTTCTTTCATTAGCTAAACATAAATTTTGTCTATCAGCAGTAATTTTTCTTTTATTTGCCTTCAAAAAGGGAAGTTTCTGTGCCCCATCCTGTATTATGTCTGAGTAATCACACAGTCGTTTATTTAAGCTCTTAATTCAGCTACTGCTAGATGCAGGTAAACCAATCTGCAACCCCTCTCCTGAGTGGAGAGTATCAGGTGTAGCATGCAGAATACCAAATAAATAGTATATAACATTTTATCTGGAAAGGAGGCTGAAACCAATCACTGCCTTCTTCCAAGTCTGCTTAAAATCTTACAAAATAAAAGTAGTTCTAGCTGTCCTTGAACCCTTGCAGACTAAAAATGATATCTATTGTAGCACATTCTTACACGGTTCTTCAGTTTCTGGTTTGTATGTGATTGTTCTGAGAGTGACATTAATGGAACTATTTTCATACGTGAGACAGCTTCTTAAATTGGATATAATCCCTGGATAAAAAGGAGCAATAATTACAGATATCGAAACAATATATAATGAGGTGCTTTTCCCTCTGATATTTATTGGTATTTTGGGTGAGAATATAAACTAATGACACAATTCCATCTCAAGGATTATGGCAATGAGGAAATACTGAGTTACTAACAGGACCAAGATATTAATATAGACAAAATTTGTGATCACCATTGACAACCACTATCATAATCAGTGCCAATGGTATGCTATTCCTACTCTAACATTCACCTACACATAATTTAAATTACCTAACAGAAGATTTTGATCACAAATTTTCCTACTAACCCCAAGCAAACAATAATCCTGAAACTCTCTCTGACAGTTCAGATCCAAGTACTCCCATTGGCGGATGCCATTCATTTCATTTTGAAGCATTAATCTTCATGTTGTAAATGAATTTGTTTAGACATGCCAGTAATAATTAGATTTATAGAACTATATACAGCATGATATGGAAGGGAGATGTTACCTATCTTCAGAAAAGTTGATGCTGTTTTACCAGTGTGTGAATTAGAAAATGCTGACAGTGAGCCATGTGATGCTTAAGTTACAACAGGAATTATTTACCATATGCACCATGTATGTTGTTATAAGAAAAACCACTGCATGCAAGAACAGATACAGTTTAATAAATTGTCATGTATCATATACTACAAACAAGAAACACACCCTCTTGCTAAATTTCCTATATGTGTAACATTCCTGGGATGCTATCTACATAACTCAACAATTGTAAAATATTTTCAAGTTTCTTAAAACATCACTTGTAAGTACAATAAAAAATTCTTTAATTTCAACAGAAGAATATGTACGTCTGAAAAATCATTTCTTATGTCGAAAAGTTGACTACAGTTATATGTAACATTAATAATAAATTATCAGTGATATGAGGAATGTGCCACCCCAAAATGGCTTAGTAAGTCACATGAAAAACTCTTGTTATCATTAGTATGTTAAAAAAGATAATGAGGACGTCAGATTGTTCAAAGTTAAATGAAGTATGGGTTACAAAGTTACCAGATGTTTGTACTATACGGTTATAAAACATTCTTATTAAGATTCAATGAGACCACTGTTCCAGACCATAAGTAGGCTGTTATTGGTTCTTTGTTATTTAAGATGTCATCTTCAGGACTCTTTTTTTATTATTCATGGCTTTTTAACAGCAATAGAAATAAATCTGGTACAATAATTATGATGATAATATATGCATTACTGGAAACTCAAAGACTCCAAAACTTCAATTATGAAAAGCACAGCACAGAATAGGATAGTTAAGTGACTATTAGATGTTGAAATAATGTAAAAGGATGACAAAGCTTAAATGGTGAGATGTGAATTTTTCAGTTAATGCTTCACAAACAATTACACTGATTTATATTTCAATTCCATATCCAGAATGCTATCAGTTGGAGGAAGGAGCTTTCTTTCTGCAAACATATCTGAACCACATCTAAAGCCTACCCAGATTTTATTTGATGGATACCAAGGACTCTTTTTCCCAAGGAGAAAGTAGCTTTCCAATTCTGAAATATTGAATTTGTGAAGTTTTAACTCCATGCATCCTACATAAATGCATGGTGTGCTGCTTAAGTATAGGGCAGTGTTACTTTTACCCTTTCAGAGTAAAAGGTAAAAGCCATCCCTGTAATAGGCCATGGGGACACATAGGGTTGTAAGACATTGACACTCCCACATTTTTTAGACACAGATGGCAGTGAGGCTGTCAGCCACGCACACTGGCCACCCTTTACCCTCAGGAATATTCCTGGTACTCATTTCTGTTAGATGCTGGGTTGACCCCAGGGCCATAGTGCAGCTAGAAGAATGAGGTCATTGAAAAATCAAACAACCTCATCAGGAATTGAATCCGTGACCATCCAGCTTGTAGCAGACTGCCTCAACTAGCTACACTGATTGTTGTATGGAAAGTCATGGCATGGCCATGACCCAGAAATTGGAAGCCTGAATTGTTATGAAGTCATGTACTTTGGCTTTTTATCAGCAGACTGTGAGACAAAGAACATGTTCCACTGGAAATTGTTTTTTCTGGATATTGAATTTTACTAACTTCTTCTATGTCTTTTATTATTTTATATTCTTACCAGCAAAAGTGCATATTGTGTCTGGATTTTCATAAAATGAACTGCACTGAAATAATGAAACTGCTTATTTATTATGACAATATTATAAATATATATTCATGCTGAACACAAAGAAGACTTTTCTTACAAACATTTTTCTGTAATACTTCCCAGTTTTTAAAACAATTACAGTACACTTTAACAATATAACTGATACAGAAAATTAATGTACTGCAATAAAATGTTAAATTATCTTAATTTTCATTAATCAGGTTCTGAAAATGTAATGATATAACATCAGAAGCATATCTTATTGTTTATCACTGTCCTATGGAATGAAGATCACTTTATGCATTAAACTATAATTAAACAATGATTAAACAGTATTGGTCATAGATTGCTTTATGCATTAAAACAGAGCTTATATGAGTATGTTCACCTGGTGACCAGCCAGAAAGGGTGACAAGAAACCAACTTAGATGCAAAAGGATTTTATATAAAACACACTGTACATAGAAAGAAGAGACTGAACACTCACCAAACATTGTATTTAATAATCTTTCTCATACTCTCTTGGGAGAAAGTCCATGATTAATTTGTCCAGACAATCACAAATACTCAATTGGATTTGCTGTCCTCATGGCAGTAATTCTTAGTGTAGAGTCACATATAACACGAAAGGCCAGCTTTTTGTCATGTTCTGAATGCAAGAACTGCCAAATTCTCAAACAACTCCAGATAAGGTGAAAACTTATCTTAATATTGTAGAAGTTATTACCACTTTAAGTGAATATTTTTTATTTTACATGCATCAAGCATCACATAAGCTCTGTTAGGTAGTATCATGTCATCATTGTATTGGAAATGAATAATTGTCAAGTGGTGACAATTTGACTACTTCAGTGAGGTCTTCAGTGTGAATCATAAATTATATTTATACTACTACGTTTCACTCATTTGAAAATATCCCTAATACAGATATTTGTTTTTAAAAATATCTGTACCACCAAACTGTGTTATAACAAAAATATATGCAGAACATTTTAATATGATGTGTTATCAAGTTAGGGAGCATCTATAAACCTCTGTTTCTGAGTGTGACAGCAACATCTGGTAAACCTGCACCTCATAATTTCATTTCACTGAACCTACAACCTGACTGTGAAATTATTTTTACCAGCTAATTTATATTAAGCCTTATAATACATGTTGCAAACAATGGACTAGTTCCCAACTTCTTGAGTAGTCATACCTTATCAACATTACAAAGGCCATGGGGACACATAGGGTTGTAAGACATTGACACTCCCACATTTTTTAGACACAGATGGCAGTGAGGCTGTCAGCCACGCACACTGGCCACCCTTTACCCTCAGGAATATTCCTGGTACTCATTTCTGTTAGATGCTGGGTTGACCCCAGGGCCATAGTGCAGCTAGAAGAATGAGGTCAATGAAAAATCAAACAACCTCATCAGGAATTGAATCTGTGACCATCCAGCTTGTAGCAGACTGCCTCAACTAGCTACACTGAGTGTTGTATTGAAAGTCATGGCATGGCCATGACCCAGAAATTGGAAGCCTGAATTGTTATGACAGTCATGTACTTTGGCTTTTTATCAGCAGACTGTGAGACAAAGAACATGTTCCACTGGAAATTTGTTTTTTCTGGATATTGAATTTTACTAACTTCTTCTATGTCTTTTATTATTTTATATTCTTACCAGCAAAAGTGCATATTGTGTCTGGATTTTCATAAAATGAACTGCACTGAAATAATGAAACTGCTTATTTATTATGACAATATTATAAATATATATTCATGCTGAACACAAAGAAGACTTTTCTTACAAACATTTTTCTGTAATACTTCCCAGTTTTTAAAACAATTACAGTACACTTTAACAATATAACTGACACAGAAAATTAATGTACTGCAATAAAATATTAAATTATCTTAATTTTCATTAATCAGGTTCTGAAAATGTAATGATATAACATCAGAAGCATATCTTATTGTTTATCACTGTCCTATGGAATGAAGATCACTTTATGCATTAAACTATAATTAAACAATGATTAAACAGTATTGGTCATAGATTGCTTTATGCATTAAAACAGAGCTTATATGAGTATGTTCACCTGGTGACCAGCCAGAAAGGGTGACAAGAAACCAACTTAGATGCAAAAGGATTTTATATAAAACACACTGTACATAGAAAGAAGAGACTGAACACTCACCAAACATTGTATTTAATAATCTTTCTCATACTCTCTAGGGAGAAAGTCCATGATTAATTTGTTCAGACAATCACAAATACTCAATTGGATTTGCTGTCCTCATGGCAGTAATTCTTAGTGTAGAGTCACATATAACACGAAAGGCCAACTTTTTGTCATGTTCTGAATGCAAGAACTGCCAAATTCTCAAACAACTACAGATAAGGTGAAAACTTATCTTAATATTGTAGAAGTTATTACCACTTTAAGTGAATATTTTTTTATTTTACATGCATCAAGCATCACATAAGCTCTGTTAGGTAGTATCATGTCATCACTGTATTGGAAATGAATAATTGTCAAGTGGTGACAATTTGACTACTTCAGTGAGGTCTCCAGTGTGAATCATAAATTATATTTATACTACTATGTTTCATTCATTTGAAAATATCCCTAATACAGATATTGGTTTTTAAAAATATCTGTACCATGAAACTGTGTTATAACAAAAATATATGCAGAACATTTTAATATGATGTGCTATCAAGTTAGGGAGCATCTATAAACCTCTGTTTCTGAGTGTGACAGCAACATCTGGTAAACCTGCACCTCATAATTTCATTTCACTGAACCTACAACCTGACTGTGAAATTATTTTTACCAGCTAATTTATATTAAGCCTTATAATACATGTTGCAAACAATGGACTAGTTCCCAACTTCTTGAGTAGTCATACCTTATCAACATTACAACAAAACATCTCAATAAAGCATACAGACTCAGACCACTGAAACCTAAGTCTCAAAGCACAAACTCTCTATTGATTGCATTTTGATGATACAGTCAAACATAAAAGAAACATAACTTTTATGGCTAAGATTCACTATCAGTACAATACTGCAAAAGATATCCATTCAAAAAATTCTTCAGTCTATCAGATTTTTCTTCAGTTTTATATCATACGAGTACATATGAAACCAATACAACTGTTAACTGCAGTTACTGTTTAAATGTTTCCTCAGTTCATTTTAAAAACTTCTGGACGTAAAGCATTCCTGAAACTCTTCTGGAATGAAGTAAAGTTACATACATAGGCCTAAAGGATATGAGATCTAAAGACAAAAGACACAACCTTAGGCAAAATGAATGGAGGAAAACACTGCTTAAAATGATGTTCTGCAGATATGCATTCACTGATGTACATTCATGGAAATTCTTGATCAAATATTTAAAAAATGCAGCATAATGAGCAGAAGTAAATATTCTTGACAAGATTATAGAGAGATGTGTGACTAGAACGAGTTTTTAGAACTTGAAATTATATCTGCTGGTTTGTGAGCACGGGACTGAAGTGTGTGTTTTATAGTGGTCGACATGCAGAAACTTTCCATTTCCCCAGCTGTCATTTGGGTTGACCACACAACAGCCCGTTTGGCAATTGGTTGTTTGTTTAGCAATTCACAGCCTGTAAGAACAACATTCACAAACACTAATTCAAGAACAGTAATGAATCCTTCTAAATGGATATAGAAGTTCACTTTCTGAACTATGTAATAAATTCATGGTTGTAACCAGTCAGTCTTATCATATACAAAGTTACGCTTTTCTTACTGAGATGTCTTCATGGTATTTCTTTTAGTGCACAGTATTAAAATCTGCCAAGTGTGAATGTTAACCTTAGAGGCAGAAAAGGTAATAAAGTAACACTAGGACTTTATGAAGCTTTTCTAGAAGTGAACACATTTAATGATCAACCTTCCTAGGGAAACAAAAAGCATGTGAGAGTGGACTTGACTCATGGGCACAGGGAAAGGCCACAGAACTTCCCCATTGATGTAGTTACTTATTTGGCCTTCATCCAGTTGCCTTTCACCATTAATGGTGTCATGCACCAAAGGAAAACAATAAGCAATGATCACATTTTTGTAGGCTGAAGGTATAAGAGGTGTGGAAATTCATCAAAGGCTATCTGCACAGTAAATGTAAGTAAAGGTATCCCTGTAACCGGCCGTGGAGGCCCATAGGGTTGAGATGTTGAGGTTCCCACATTTTCTAGACAATCGGCTCATAGATAGCAGCAAGGTTGTCAGCCCTACACGCCGGCCACCCTTTACCCCCAAGAATATTCCTGGTACTCATTTCTGTTAGAAGCTGAGTCGACCACAGGGCCATAGTGCGGCTGGAAGGATTAGGTCAATTGAAAAAAATCCAATGACCTCTTCAGGATTTGAACCCACAACCTTCTGGCTTGTAGCATAGTGCCATAACAAACTACACTACAACGTGCCCCCTATCTGCAGTGTATGGTAAGAAAGTTTGGCCACAGCAAAGTATGTACAGATGGATTGACATGTTCAAAAATGGACAAAGAGATGTTATTGATGAAGTAATATCAGGGAACCAACCCACATTAAGAGGCAAAACATTACTAACGAACTGTGCTGATAGTCTTTGGTGAATTTCTGCACCCCTTAAACCTTAAACTCACAAAAATTGAATTACAGAATGTTGCTGTGAATGGATGTGGTATGGAGAGTGACCATGTTGATGCCAGAACTGAATGACAAAGATCAAGTCAGCCATTTCAACTATATGGAGGTTCCATGCCTACAATTAGGTCTGCATTCAGCAGGGTCTCACACNGCCCACTGGGAGATAAACGGTCAATCCCAGCATTGAAAAAGCTTGTGGGCCGTCTACGGAACCACATCTTTACCCAGCCACACACATCTTTGTCCGCTGCAAACTGATGTCCACGAATGTCTCCCTTCAGGTCTACAAAAATGTGAAAATCACATGGGAAGAGATCTGGGCTGTAGGGGGGATGTTGAAGCACTTCCCAACCAAATCTCTGTAGCGTATTCCTCACAGAGTTGTCAGTGTGGGGGCACATATTATCATGAAGGAGTATAATGCCATTCGATAGCATTCCAGGGCGTTTTGACTTTATGGCATGTCTTAGTTTCTGCAAAGTGTCTTCATAGCACTGTGCACTGATTGTGGCCCCATGCTTGAGAAATTCGACAAGCAGAGGGCCCTTGCAGTTGAAAAAGAACATCATCATCACTTTACCAGAACTTGTGTGTACAGCTTTGGATTTCTTCGGTGGGGGAGAATTCACATGTTTCCACTGTTGGCGCTGCTGTTTCCTCTTGGGTTCAAAATGGTGACACCAAGTTTCATCCCAAGTGGTAATATGGGACAGAAAAGCATACTCTTCCTAATGGTTACAAGTGACCAGTGATGCAGTCATTCTCTGAGTCTTCTGTTCCTCTGTGAGTTGATGTTGAACCCACTTGCATCATCTTGCAGTGACACACGTCCCTCTTGGAATTTCTTATGCCATGCCAGCACATGCGAATGTGACATTTTGTGTTCGCCGTAAACAAGAAACATGCAAGGATGAATTTCTCATCCTCCTACTCCTTCAGCAGTCAAAAAGCGCACTACACTTCGCTGTTCTTCTTTACCCACCTCCATTACTGATGTTGGACCACACGTAGCGCTAACCTTACTTCCAGCACAATAAACAAACGATTAGTGTGCAAGGGCACATTGTCACTGCTTTCCCGAGTCCCCATCAGATGTTTGTACCATAAGCAAATTCCAGTGTTACCAACTTGCGCGCCATGTAAGTTATGCGTGGTAGCCCATTTTCATTTGACTACCCCTCATATTTATAACTGTAAGCTATTAAAGTTTTTCTCAACTAGGATTCGATTTTATGACCAGCTGTGAAGAAATCTAGCATACTAGCAACATGCTAAAGCAAATTTTATTGTTGAATTCTAAATTTATATTATCTAAATGTTACATTAACAACACAAGATTTGTAAGATTGAAGTCTGCAAACAGGAAAGTAGGGTTTATGAGAAGAGTTCCAGAGGGAACTGAATGATTTCATGATTTCTAACATGTTTACAAATACAAACTGCTGGTTAAAATCGCATCTAGAAATACTACCATAGCATAAGCTCAAATAAGAATTAAAGAAATAGGGTGTGGGGATGTGGAATAGATTCAGTTGGCTCTGGATAGAGACCAGTTAAGGTATCTTGTAAACATGGTAATGAACATTTAGATTCCAAAAAGTATGAGAATTTTCTGTACCATTTGAATGACTATTAGATTTTTAATGATTCCACATCATGGAGTGAATCTGTTAATTTTTGGGAGCTAGCAACACATTATTACTCAAAAACTACCAGGTGAGAAATGTAGGTCAAAATATCCTTACCTGCATGATCCATCCATTCTCAATATCATACTGAATAGAACAAGTTTGGTGGATCTGTGATATGTCAAAAAATACCCAGTAGAATTCACTTGAGCCTTTGTGTTACATTAGCAAGTGCCACTGCAAATGCTTGCAATGTAGAGAATGGATACTGGAAGTCTAATGTATAAGCATTTCCATCAATACGTCCAAACTGCATCACCTGTAAAATATGTTAATATTTTTAACACATTTTCCTTTAAGTCCTTTAGAATTTCAAACTGAAGAGAGGCTATAAAGTACACAGAAAAATAGTGACCCTTGTAATACAAGTATAAGTTGAACACAGCAAAATCTCAGTGTACTAAGTGAGCCAGTTAAACAGTTACATGCCTGTCTATTTATACTACAAATACCTCTAGCTCTTATTAACTGTGAGATTTTTGCCTGTTGGCATGGTGAAGAAACCCATTTGTGAATTGAAAGCACCCACAAGGAACACTCCTGGTAATAGAGTGAAAGTGAGAATATTGGCTTAATAGCTTGTGATGCAGATATAATTGTGCTGAAGAGTGGTTTTCATAAAATTATGAAATCAGACAATTTGTGAAAAAGCTCTTTTCTAGAATTCTAAGTCATTCTGTGTCTCTCTCTACTAACCCTTTAAAGACTGAATATCTTCTAACACACACTGTTTACTGCAAGAACCATATGAGAAACACACATACGCTGTGGGAAGAATGCATACTATACTATACACACTATAGTATTGTGACATGTTGACCCCCACCTCCCCAGCTGCACATAGCTGTAACGTAGCGCTCGCGTAATAGGCGAGTAATCACCCCGCATCCTGGTAGCTATGCAACGCGCGGTGACGTCACCGAGGGATATCACGGTTGCTAGGCAGCAGTCAACAACTCCGGACACCGTGGCTAGCAACAAGGCACCAGACGACAATTGTCCGATCAAGGCTACATAAGGAGCAGCGAAGGCTATTCAGTGTCAGTGAGTCAGTGAGTCCTGGAGCTACCTACGAGTCAGTCCTTGAGCTACCTCCGAGTTAGTTCCGAGTTAGCCAGCAACCAGTCAGTTGTATTCTGGTATTTGGAGTACTAATTGTGATACTGCAGATAGCAGTAATCGTAAATCTGTAATTTGGGTGATTGTAAGTGCGAATGTGAAATAAAATTCACTACATAAAATACGGCGTGAAGTTATTTGTCGCGATATATGCCCGATATGAGACAACTGGTGTCAGAAGTGGGATTAGAACTTACACAAGACACGTGACAATTTGGTGTCAGAAGTGCTACGAACTTAAACGCTCCACAGACAATTTGTTGTGTATCAAGTATCTTACTGCCACAAATTGAGTTATTGTGCATCGAGTATTCTACTGCGACAAGATGGAGAAACAAGATATGCAACGAATAATGGAAATGCTGGCAAGAATTGACGCCAACGTGAGATCCTACCAAGAAATGGAGGCCAATAGGAGGAAAGACAAAGAGGATTTCCTGGCGAGATTAGAATTCAATCAAGAAAAGGCAGATAGCATGCTGACGAAATTAGACGCCGACTTCAATGCCTGGCAGGAAGAGACGTTGGCCTGCCCAGTGGACACGATACCTGCGACGGCACAACAAGAAGAGGTTC